AGAGTGCCATAACTGCATGCAAACTTGGTTGGATGGTCAGAGAAAGAACCTGCCCATAATTAAAAGTATCAGGAGCTTTAGAAACAACCACACACATACAAATACACCTGCTAGTGAGCTACTTAAATAATGAAGTGAAAACAATCTTGGAATACCGTGTTGAGGTTGTAAATAGAAAACCAGAAAACAAAGCCTCCATACTTCTTTCCTCATGGACTGCTGAAAAATGTCTCGAATTGAAAGACAGCAACGATAGAAATTCTCAATTAACTGAGGGTGGATGGAGCCACCAAGCCGTGCTACTTCTTTGTGAGTTGGAGTGATAAAGATTCCTTGCATTGTTTCCAAGGTGAGATAGTGGAAGAGGGTATTCTCAGGACCAGATGTCAACCTTAAAATTAAATGAATAAATAGGAGAATTCATTAAATAATAAAGTAATTTTGAAAGAAATTTCAGTTAAACAAAATATACTTTTGTTTCTTAAGACAGAATCGTTTTTTTGGTAACTGCACGACAGTACAAAAATGGATACAGACATTCAAAAGGCGCTTATTTCTACACGAAGGAAATCCTGATAATTTGGACTGTTGATTTAAAAACAAAACAAAGCAAAAACCTATGGTACTAGGCAGGTATTGCACTTGTGTTCTCAAAAATTCTCCCCCAAAACAAACAAAAGGAGAAATAAAAGCTCTTTTTGGGGGATGGAGGAGGGAAGCAAACCTTTCCTTAGAGCTCAGACAAAACTCCAGAGCAGACTGTGCTGTCACAAGCAACAAGTGAGACCTGGGAAGATCACAGCTTCTTTGTCCTTTGTACACCTATCTAGAGATACCAGGGAGGCACAAAGTCCATGCATGGTCCAAAAACTCTTATATTTGAACTTCCAAAGTCGCATATGTATAGGCAAGTGCATACATTCTACTGACATATTCTTGAAAAATACTGGTCTTTTCTAATTAAGATCTCCATTTAAGAGCTTCATTTTTGAGAATCCCTGCATAGCAAACTTTTGGTTAGAATAAAATGACACTGGAATTTTGGTGATCTGGGCATAACCCAAAAAGATCCAAATCTGGCCTTAAAAATGAAATACTTAAAAAATCATGTCTTACTTGACAGCATTAAGAAGTTCTGTATCTTTCTCTGAAAGGTTCTTTTTGAGGCTTCCTAAATTAAATGGATTTGGTAGGGTATGTTTTTTTTTAGTGGCCTGAAAAACAAGCATAGAGATGAACTAAGAGAGAAGCAGCAGCAGCAAACGGCAGAATAGAATCAAACCAACAAATCACCTGCTTAGAAAAAAATAACAGCATTTTTTTTAAGAGGCCCAAATAGTTTCATCGTTTTATATAAATGTATTTTGCAGCCTATTTTAGACTAAAATGGGTTAGAAGCAGTTGTACAGCTGTGCAGCAATTTGTTCTGGTAACTTCTATTCACACTATTTTTTGGGGGTATTCTCCAATCATTTCTGCTGCTTCCAATGCAGCTGTGCCCACTTCGACTTGTGAAAAAGCCCCCAAAATTACAAGCAATGCTAAAATATAAGATGTGATGGCTTTGAGGCTGACCCAAAGCTTCCCAAGGCAACAGGAGTATTTCCTACTGAATTCAGGGGCTCTTCAATTTAGTCTTAAAGTTACTGCAGTGAGTTTTCAAAAGAAATGCCACCTCCCCCAAGCCCACCAGAACCTTACGGATACTCTTTTGTCTTTGTTCTCAGACCTGATCCACTACAGATTGTGGATTACTGCTTTCATCTTCCGCAGGACCTTCGTTACCACGGTCAGGTCCTCCACTGCTCCTTGTAGGGCTTGGCTTACGTGTCATTAAGGACGAGTCACCAAACAGGGTCCTTTTGCTTGCTGGAGCGGTCCCTGATTTCGAAGTATTTTGTAGCTTGCTGAACATAGGTGAGGTGGTCAAGTTCTCGGGTTTGTCACGTGTTGCAGGAAGGAACCAGTCAGCACAAGATAAAGGTGGGATGGAAGGAGCATCTAGCCTTTCCTCTATGCTGGCATCGATTCCTTCCAGTTGAAGTATAGTGGCTTTGACCTGATCTACATATACACAGTCTGGTCCTGGATTCCCAATTGCTTTTGATGCACAGCCTCCCGCCTCTAGCAGGACACACAGCATAAAGTATCTCTGTAAAGATGGAAGTAGCAATGTTAGCCTTTGGTTAGAACTTAGCCTTTGGACAATTTACACTTTAACTTGCAAGCTTTACAAATGTGGAAATAATGCTACTTTCTGAGAAGTTCTGTCCCATGAGGCAGCTACAATATGACTATTTTGTAACATTACTGAATAAAATGCATGAAAGTGTTGATCTTACTGACCAACAGACATCACACACCAGCCAAGCAGAGCACTGGAGAACAGACACACTGCAGATGTTAACTTACCAAGCCAACTATCAGTAAAAAGTATCTTGCTTCAGGCTCCCTGTATCCTGTAATAGCTGAAACTTCACAAGGCTGGATATGATGATGTGGAAATACTTCCCGCCATATCACTAACTGACTGATCTTCTGTTCTGCTGCCAAGGGTAACAGACAATAGTGCCGACAATATAAACCTATATCAATAAGATCTTCCTTTGGCAAGTGATTACCAATCAAGTAACCCTTAATTAAACACAGAAAAGGAAGCGTATTCAGTAAGAAATACAACACCACGACTTATCACTTAAGAGTACTTTTCACATAGAGATATCCACACTCCACATGCATTGAGACTGTAAACTTTCTGGCAGATACTGTCTTTTTGGTGTACACTTGTACAACAGATAACACTAAGCTTTTGCACAACATCTGGAGAATCCAAATACTGAAATATAAAGAAATAAAACATCACCATATATGCAAGTTATCAAAGGCAAGCTGGGAAACACTAACTTGAAGAACTTGAAAAACAGATACAAAGTTAAGGTGCTTTAATTCTCATGTCATTCTCTCTCTAAAACTACTGAGCTGTTACTGGAATTAATAAAATTTCCAAAGAAGATACACAGTACAAAACCAGTTCTAGCACTAAAGGCATTACGGTTAAAGAGCTGCCATGGTAGATACGAAGCAGTTCCATCTGTGACAACAGTTTAGTCTCATAATGCTACCAGCATAAAGAGCAATTGCATGATAAAATCCTTAAAATGTAATTTTCCTTACAGGAAAGATTGTTACCTTCCTATTTATACTGTTAAATAGGAAAGGTTGTTGCCTTCCTATTTATACTGTTAAATACACTGTCTACATCTAGTAACGGTACATAAATTTACAAATGAGGCTGTCAGTACAATTCCTCAAGTCTTTGATTTAAAGACAGATTAAGGATAGATCACCTGTTGGCTTTATTAAAAAAATGGCAATGAACCAAAAAATTCCTATTAGGATCTCCATACACTCTCCCTTGAATTGACTCTGACTGCTATCTTATTACTGTCTCTCCTTGAATCATGCCCTGCAAAATTCCCATGAGACAACTTCAGAAAAGCATTTTGTTCTTACTTATATAGCACATACCACTTCCTGGCATCAATTCTTTCAGTTAGGGTGGTTGAGTTACAGGTCTCTTACTAGAAATACATATTTAAAGCCATCATACATTTTTGTCATATTTGTGAGGTTCTGAAAAGAGTTACTCCATGACTAGCTTAGACTTCCAGATGCATTTTCCAAACCTTTAGGCCTTAATCACTAATACTACCTTGTAGAAAAGACAAGAGCCCATAATCATATATAATCTTCTCATGTCGTAATAATCTTCAGACTGTGGGGGAAAAAAGCATAGTATCATTTTTAATTCAGAATTTTTGCTTTAGTTACCAAATGCAAGTCACCTAAGTCCAGTCAATTGTAATGAGTATCAATACTTCCATTTTTGACCTCCTCTTATTATGAGTGCGACAGTTAATACCGAACGGTTCAGCGAAATACTAAGTTTTTAGTGTCCATTGTCAATTTTCATGTCACTACCATTTTATCTAATAATTTCCAGCTCAAAATAACCGATTTCCTATTTAGTTCTTCTCTGTCCCTAAGCTATTTTTGTCAGGATATGCTATTTCTCAGAGTTCTCAACAGCAAATTAGCTGAAAAATAACTATCGACACCAGAGGCCCTCCTAGAGTAAAATTTCCAAGTCAAAGCATTTTTTTTCCCCCCAGTATTTGATATTTTATCCCAAATATACCTATTCCTTGGATCTTTTAATCTAGATGTCTAGTTGTCCTGGGTTCAGCTACAGCAGTC